ACGAACCCTGTGCAATAAATCTTTAGCAAACTATGATTTTTTTAAACTCGAAAATAGTGAAAATAGTTTAAAAGAGACAAGTATACTAACCAAATGCCATATTCATACACAATACTCTAAAAATTAGCGAATCAAATATGTTTGATAATCAACCATGTATTATGAACACTGAAGAAAAGACTGAAGCCACGAAAATTATTTAATAAGCAAGTATTCAAATTTTAAGCAAATTTGAAGTACATAAAGAGAAATATAAAGTATCTTAAAGTGGAGATCCTGATTTCATAAAATTTTTGAGCTATGTGCTAATTAATAGGATATTAAAAGGATCGGGATCAAATATTCGTTACATTAATAATGAATGTAATGAAATGATGCAACAAATATCAACTACAAGCTGTACATGCCATATAAAAATTAACATAGGATCACGAATTTATCTTCCAAGTAATGCCCAACTCTAATTGGTGATATAAATTTTCCTTCGCTTGTTTAAGGTACGTCAATCCTCTTATTTGCCACATTGAAATAGTTCAAGTTATCAGATTCGCAACTTATGGACGGCTAAAAACCTATGTGTAAACCTATGAAAACATATCATAGCATTTAAAATATGAATAATCAGTGATATCATGAAAAATATAAATTATAGACCCACAAAGAGAAGAGGTAAAAAGGCCTGTGTTCTAATGTGCAAGTAAATATTAAAGCATATACTATGCTCGTCAAAATTAAAAAACAACAAAAGCTTGTCATTTATGAAGCAGACATACTGGAGGAAATGGATCCTGATATCGTTATTCAACAGAATTTATAAGGCATACTTAAATCATTGTTGAGTTTACTTTCACTTTTAAGCTCAACAATTATGAAATAAGAGATTCCTTAAAACTCAACTTGTCTTCGCATCAGGCGCATGTATTTTTCGAATAAAAAGCCCCGGCGTTTGCGGCCTGATTGCTAGAGCATTCTTTACAGTGTCAACTATCCTAGAGACAGTGTCCAGTGTCCATTCGAAGCAATATAAACTTACTTTTGGCAAGCCTTGCAGTTATAGTGAAAAGAGTACCATGAATTCAAATAGTAAACTAAAGATTGGCGTGCGTTTCCGTTTTAACGGGTAAATTGAATATATTCATTATTGAAGTGTTTGAAAGAATGATTTCCTGCTCTGATGATGTCTGTAACATAATAAAGGAGTAATTCAGTGCGGATTACTTGAGGACAGTGTGCCATAAACTTCAGCTTTTGGAGATGCCAATTTACGAATCCGTTTCACCCACCTTTCAAACAAAATGAAGGCAACGCCAACATCAATTTGTAATATCCGAAATCCAGACTTTCCTTATATCTACTAAACAAAATAAACTTTGGCAACAGATCGGTAGTGTTAGGAAAGAGGATAATATTTTTAAAGGAAAAATACAATCCCGTGGTCGTGGCAGTACCACCAAGTTTGCCGAAGAGTACGTGTTAGAAAATGAGCTCTGGGTTCAATTTCCCAAGCTAATCATGAAGAAGTCAACATTTGCCCTAGTCTTGTTTGCTTTTTAACAGTTAATTATGATAGAATTGAACAATTTAATACCGATTTCGTCCGGTCGATTCTAGACGCCATCCAGCTAGTCGACGCGAAATGAACAGCATGTCTTGGTTGTGAGAGAACTTAACCGCTCTGCGTCTCCACAGCTGGCGCTGCAGCTGTTCTACTTGTTTGCATGCCCAATCGGCACGGTACCAGTCAGACTGAGAAAAGACGTGCTTGCAAGTATTGGTTCGATCAACTTTGCTCCCAATATCATCTAAGCTTTGATGATGGTCTGAAAACAAATGGGAACAGATACGAACGGTTGATTGCGTGGAACCGACAGTACTGGCATGGAGAGAAGAAACGCTGCTGATAGAAAGGGGAGAGAGACTTTGCATATTGGGATCCTCAAGCTCCCATCTGAAAGCAGGAAATATAAAAACGAAAACGTAAGCGATATCAAACATAGGGAATTAAAATTAATATAGGTTAAAAAACCAACTGTAAATAAGATATAACTTATTTTTAACTATTAAGAAAAAGTATTTATACTAGAAATAAAACTAGATTGAGCTAAAAAGAGAAGTGAGAATAACTGGGAAAGAAAGAACAGGAAATGCGAGCAGATCAAAGTAAGTTAAGAAGCATAGACAAGAAAGGCGAAGCTCTAGTGCTACATAGCAAATACGATTGTGAATGAAACAAAAAAGAAATAGCAAAATGAGACTGAGGGGATAACATCTAGTTGAGATTAATATAAGCAATTTTATGTTTAGATTAGTTTAATTCGTATCCAAGGTAACTTAAGCAAATTGATTTGAGATTTCTGTATTTAAGCATTTAAGACTTTACGCAATAAAGTATATTTGATAGAAGGTATGAATACCAAGATGGTGTGGCCTTTTGTGGGGTCGCAGTCTCGTTTCGTTGAATAGAAGTTGTTTGACCTTATTTTCGCAAATTGTTCATATTGCTGGGAAGACTTAAAGTAACGCACCGGAGTCTATTGTATGCATCATAATTTCCAGAGTAGGACCATGCACGTGGTACATCCCCAAACGTTTCGCCGGCACCGTAGTCTGCATCGTTAGTGAGCCTCGCCATTCGTAGCACCATATTACAACTCATCAAAAAACAAGGCACACAAGCGACTAGGGCATGGCAAGTCATAGACTTGGTATTAGGGATAGAGACAGGTTAGACGAGGGGGCAATTAAAGCTATTTGTCTGACAGTAGGTTTTACAAGGAACGTAGTCCATGTAGCAAAGGCATGACCATGAGACTTACTCAGAGGCTTTAGCCTCGACTTAGTCGCTCAGGTGC